TCCCCGTTAAAGGGAAATTTTTATGTCTTGTAATCTAGCTGTGTGGTTTACCTGTGACTTTTCTGGTGATGGCTTGATCGGCAAAGCTGTTGTTGGCAGCGTCCCGCATCTCCACATTGCCAGCACAACCTGTCTGAACCGGTGATTCCTACAGGCACCTGTTTAATTTCCTTTTTGAAACCTGTTAATCTTCGTTTGGGCAATATTTTTTTATTGTCCGGTGGAAGATTAATATTCTCTGGTAGTGTTGATAACACTAGTACGAGGCGGGTTATCTTGAGGTTATCTTGAGATGATTTCGGGGCTTTTTAGTGTCCCCGCGGCCCGCTCCTCGACGAGGCCTCCACCCCCAGGAAGCAGCCCATGCCAGCTGGCTAACACCTAGGTACCTATTTTACTGCTAGGTAACAGGGGCATAGGGAGAAAGAAAATCTGCCCATTGTTTCTCTCCGGCGCCCGGGATCGAACCCGGGTGCTGTTGATGTCCTCCCGAACTCACTCAGGTCAGTCCAACCTTCGCTGGAAGACTCCAAAGATCCCACACTTTTATGTTACTGGTAAACTTGTTCCACAGTCAACCACCTTATTCCCATAAGGCAGCCACCTGGGGTCTGTCTTTCCCCCTCAGTAAGTTGTAAGCTCTGTCTCTGTCTGTCTCTCTCTCTGTCTCTCTCTCTGTCTCTCTCTCTCCTCTCTCTCTCTCTCTCTCTCTCTCTCTCTCTCTCTCTCTCTCTCTCTCTCTCTCTCTCTCTCTCTCTCTCTCTCTCTCTCTCTCTCTCTCTCACCCTCTCTCTCACCCTCTCTCTTACCCTCTCTCTCTCTCTCTCTCTCTCACCCTCTCTCTCTCTCTCTCTCACCCTCTCTCTCTCTCTCTCACCCTCTGTGTCTCTCTCTCTCTCTCCCTCTCTCTCTCTCTCCATTGTATCCTTGTACCCCTTGTATCTATTGTACCCCTTCCATTGTATCCTTGTACCCCTTGTACCTATTGTACCCCTTGTACCCATTGTATCCTTGTACCCATTGTATCCTTGTACCCATTGTATCCTTGTACCCATTGTACCCCTTGTACCCATTGTACCCCTTGTACCCATTGTATCCTTGTACCCATTGTATCCTTGTACCCCTTGTACCCATTGTATCCTTTTACCCCTTGTACCCATTGTATCCTTGTACCCATTGTATCCTTGTACCCCTTGTACCCATTGTACCCATTGTATCCTTGTACCCCTTGTACCTATTGTACCCTTGTACCCATTGTATCCTTGTACCCATTGTACCCATTGTATCCTTGTACCCATTGTACCCATTGTACCCATTGTACCTATTGTACCCCTTGTACCCATTGTATCCTTGTACCCATTGTACCCATTGTACCCCTTGTACCTATTGTACCCCTTGTACCCATTGTATCCTTGTACCCATTGTATCCTTGTACCCCTTGTACCCATTGTATCCTTGTACCCATTGTACCCATTGTATCCTTGTACCCATTGTACCCATTGTACCCATTGTACCTATTGTACCCCTTGTACCCATTGTATCCTTGTACCCATTGTACCCATTGTACCCCTTGTACCTATTGTACCCCTTGTACCCATTGTATCCTTGTACCCATTGTATCCTTGTACCCCTTGTACCTATTGTACCCATTGTATCCTTGTACCTATTGTACCCCTTGTACCCATTGTATCCTTGTACCCATTGTATTCTTGTACCCCTTGTACCTATTGTACCCATTGTATCCTTGTACCCATTGTATCCTTGTACCCCTTGTACCTATTGTACCCATTGTATCCTTGTACCCATTGTATCCTTGTACCCCTTGTACCTATTGTACCCCTTGTACCCATTGTATCCTTGTACCCATTGTATCCTTGTACCCCTTGTACCTATTGTACCCCTTGTACCCATTGTATCCTTGTACCCATTGTACCCCTTGTACCCATTGTACCCATTGTACCCTTGTACCCATTGTACCCATTGTACCCTTGTACCCATTGTACCCCTTGTACCCTTGTACCCATTGTACCCATTGTATCCTTGTACCCCTTGTACCTATTGTACCCCTTGTACCCATTGTATCCTTGTACCTATTGTACCCCTTGTACCCATTGTACCCTTGTACCGGAGGAAACTTTTTTGCGCGACACTTTCTTGGTCGACATTTTCACTCCCAAGATAAGGACACTTCTGTTTATCACAGAATAATTTGCAAGTTTTGCCTCGCCTTCACTCTGGGTGTTGACGAGTCATATTCACTCTCGTTATGTTGGATCACTTTCACTCTAGTAGTGATGAGTAACCTGGTAATGATGAGTCACCTCCTACGTCATATTGGTAATGTTGGGTCACTTTTACTCTAGCAATAACTCATTACCAGTCACCTTCACTCTGGCAATGAGTCACCTTCACTCTGGCAGTGAGTCACCTTCACTCTGGTAATGAGTCACCTTCACTCTGGTAACGAGTCACCTTCACTCTGGCAATGAGTCACCTTCACTCTGGCAATGAGTCACCTTCACTCTGGTAATGAGTCACCTTCACTCTGGTAATGAGTCACTTTCACTGGTAATGAGTCACCTTCACTCTGGTAATGAGTCACCTTCACTCTGGTAATGAGTCACCTTCACTCTGGTAATGAGACACCTTCACTCTGGTAATGAGTCACCTTCACTCTGGTAACGAGTCACCTTCACTCTGGTAATGAGTCACCTTCACTCTGGTAACGAGTCACCTTCACTCTGGTAACGAGTCACCTACACTCTGGTAACGAGTCACCTTCACTCTGGTAATGAGTCACCTTCACTCTGGTAACGAGTCACCTTCACTCTGGTAACGAGTCACCTACACTCTGGTAACGAGTCACCTTCACTCTGGTAACGAGTCACCTTCACTCTGGTAACGAGTCACCTTCACTCTGGTAATGCCTCACCATAAAAGTGATAGTACAAATATCAACTGTGGGTGGAACGTAAAAAAAATCACTTGTTAAAAACATGTTTCGTATAGTTAATACTGTTGAGGGCGGGAGAAAGGCGGCGTCACCCAAGCCTAACAGCATCACCCAAGCCTAACAGCGTCACCCAAGCCTAACAGCGTCACCCAAGCCTAACAGCGTCACCCAAGCCTAACAGCATCACCCAAGCATAACAGCATCACCCAAGCCTAACAGCATCACCCAAGCATAACAGCGTCACCCAAGCCTAACAGCGTCACCCAAGCCTAACAGCATCACCCAAGCCTAACAGCATCACCCAAGCCTAACAGCATCACCCAAGCCTAACAGCGTCACCCAAGCCTAACAGCATCACCCAAACATAACAGCATCACCCAAGCATAACAGCATCACCCAAACATAACAGCATCACCCAAGCCTAACAGCATCACCCAAGCCTAACAGCGTCACCCAAGCCTAACAGCATCACCCAAACCTAACAGCATAGGCCTAGTATAACACCTATGGACATCATCTTAGGCTTTAGTACGAGGACTTGGATTTATATTTAGGCCTAGGAGAGATTAGGATATATAGTTACAGTTCCACTGTTTAGCGATGCCATTTGGAGTATTCAAATAGTACAAAACGTGAATTGTTATGTGGTACAACCGTCCATATGTGTACGCCTCACCAATAGTTGTTAGAACTGATATCTGTGTGGGATGGGTTGCACTAACACTGCTCCAAATCAAAGGCACTACGGGCTCACCATAGCCCGTGCTACTTGGAACTTTGTTCCAGGTAGCGAATCTTGAACAACAACAACTCTCTGCAGTTTTACTCATTTCATTCATTTTTTTTAGTCATGTGCACCACGTTGTCGACTTAAAATTAGTTGCGCAGTGCAAGGGTTATACAGAGAAGAACCTTTAAGAAGGTATGTAGGTATGCCACTAGACTAGTACCAGACCTGACGGGTGAGAGGTACTAGGAGATACTATTATAATTGTCAGTGGAAGACAGAAAGGAATTAGGGGAGATATGATCACCAGATATACAATTTCCAGGTGAATTGATGGAGCAGATCAATTCAAACAATTTGGAATGGGAATACAATTTCCAGAAGACACTGCAGAAGGATATATTCTATGTAATAGGGCCATGATTCATCAAACATTTACGTGCTAATTTACGAAACCTGTACATCTTTCCAAAATCATTGCGGTTTTGTTTACATTCATTAAGCAGTTCATGAACTCTGAAGCACAACGAGGTTGTTTACAACAATAATAACCCTGGGTTGTGACGTTTCCATGCTAACAGATATAAACCAAGCCTTCATTGTCTAGAGGGAAGATGCACTGGTTTCGTAATTGGCTGCATAAATGCTTGATGACAACCACCCCTGATATATAGCGTCAGTGACCCCTCAAAATGCTTGCATTTAAAAATGTTAAAATGAATTCTCTCATTAAGTCTAAAACATTCGCGACCGAACATTTGATATGACAAAAATCATGTAATCCCATCTATCACGCAACATATTTACAACGTTTTTAAAACGTTATAACAACATTGTAACAATGTAAAATATTAAGAAGAACGTTCTGGTTATGGCAGGATGTATTCACGTATTTGTCCTCAACTAGTTGTACTTGCAGGGGTTGAGCTTTGGCTCTTCGGTCCCGCCTCTCAACTGTCAATCAACTGATGTACAGATTCTGGAGCCTATTGGGCTCTATCATATCTACATTTCAAACTGTGAACGGAGTCAGCCTAGACCACGTCACTGCCTAATGCATCCCATTTGTTAACTACTGACATTAACATTTTTTTTGTTAAATATCTCTGTGGCTCATCTGGGTACTCAGTTTCCACCTGTGTCCCCCTTGTTCATGTTCCACCCAAGCTAAATAGTTTGTCTTTGTCCACCCTGTCTATTACCCTGAGAATTTTGTAGGTGGTTATCATGTCTCCTCATATGTGTGTGTGTTTTGGGCGTGACCACGGTGCTTGTGTTCATCACATGATATAACATGGTTACTCTTGTGTTACTTTACAGGCTGAGATATGGTCGGTGTTCATCGCTATCCTGCGGAAGAGCGTCCGCAACCTGCAAGCCTGCACGGAGGTGGGGCTCATCACCCACGTCCTGCAGCGACTACCGCAGGCTGATAACGTAGTGGCAGGTAGGTCCCCACAGGTCACCTTCAGTCCGGCTACTAATTAAGGTGCATGATAGTTACCGTGCTGCCTGATGCAACAGGCAGTGATTGCAGGCTGACCTGCCATCCCCCCCCCCCCACGAAGGCGGGCATGGCCCTGGAAACACAAACCGAAATTGTCTCTTTTCCGCTTGTTGCAACTTGTAATAAAAATGTTACATCTTGGCTTAACGTGTTTATGACGTATTAGAACGTTGTTACAATTTGCTATATTGGTTGTTATAACTGGTTAGGAAGTGTTAAAACTTGTTCAAACGTTGTACCAACGTCGTAGTTTCGGTGTGTGTTTGGCGGTGGGTGACAGCTACACAGTATACTGATAGAAAACACTTATATAACATTTAAATCAACACGCTTAAAAGTAATATTAATTATTATTATACAAAGATCCATAATGATTTATACAGTGTTAGGATGCATGGGTCATGAAGTTCGTTATGTTTACTGAATATATAATTGATAAAAATAAAATAGTTATAAGATATATAAATATCATATTAATCGCAATGTTGAAACCAGAGATGCGTTCGATCCCATCGTACAACCTCAATATTTTCTCATAGATACATCTCTCAGTCGTAATTTTATTATGCACATTCGCTACGGGATCACCATATCCGGTGCTACTCGGAACTTTTGTTCCAAGTAGCCTATTCTAAAACAACAACAACAACTGTGCACATTTGGACCTTGTGAAGTTTCCGATAGCGGGGTAGAAATGTGACATCTATTGGCAATATTTTGTTTCCATGTTTATCACTTGAAGCAAGAGCTGCAGCGGCTTCAAGACTTCGGCGGGAAGTAGATGGTGGTGGCTGGAGGTATTGGAAACTGAAGTGGAATGGGAACAGTAGTCGATATACAGGAGACTGGTGTGTGTGTGTGTGTGTGTGTTCACCTAGTGTATTCACCTAGTTGTATTTGCGCGGGGTTGAGTTCTGGCTCTTTCGTCTAACTGTCAACTGATTTTTTTCTCAGATACACACACACACATACACACATATATACACACACACACACACACACACACACACACACACACACACACACACACACACACACACACACACACACGTGTGTGTATCCACCGGAAGGTACTCCGGTGGATAGAGGAGTACCTAAGCAACAGGAGACAACGAGTCTGTGTGAGGGGTGAGGTCTCAGATTGGCGAGACGTCACAAGTGGAGTCCCGCAGGGGTCAGTCCTTGGACCTATACTGTTTCTGGTATATGTAAATGATCTCCCGGAGGGTATAGATTCGTTCCTCTCAATGTTTGCCGACGATGCAAAAATTATGAGGAGGATTGAAACAGAGGATGATAGTAGGAGGCTACAAGATGACCTGGATAGACTGAGTGAATGGTCCAACAAATGGCTGTTGAAGTTCAACCCGAGTAAATGCAAAGTAATGAAACTAGGCAGTGGAAACAGGAGGCCAGGCACAGGATACAGAATAGGAGATGAAGTACTTAATGAAACAGACAGAGAGAAAGATCTAGGAGTTGATATCACACCAAACCTGTCTCCTGAAGCCCACATAAAGAGAATAACGTCTGCGGCATATGCGAGGCTGGCTAACATCAGAACGGCGTTCAGGAACCTGTGTAAGGAATCATTCAGAATCTTGTACACCACATATGTAAGACCAATCCTGGAGTATGCGGCCCAGCATGGAGCCCGTACCTTGTCAAGCACAAGACGAAGCTGGAAAAAGTCCAAAGGTATGCTACTAGACTAGTCCCAGAACTAAGAGGCATGAGTTATGAGGAAAGGCTGCGGGAAATGCACCTTACGACACTGGAAGACAGAAGAGTAAGGGGAGACATGATCACAACCTACAAAATCCTCAGGGGAATCGACCGGGTAACAAGGATGGACTATTCAACACTGGTGGGACGCGAACAAGGGGACACAGGTGGAAGCTGAGTACCCAAATGAGCCACAGAGACGTTAGAAAGAACTTTTTCAGTGTCAGAGTAGTTAGTAAATGGAATGCATTAGGAAGTGATGTGGTGGAGGCTGACTCCATACACAGTTTCAAATGTAGATATGATAGAGCCCAATAGGCTCAGGAATCTGTACACCAGTTGATTGACGGTTGAGAGGCGGGACCAAAGAGCCAGAGCTCAACCCCCGCAAGCACAATTAGGTGAGTACAATTAGGTGAGTACACACACACACACACACACACACACACACACACACACACACACACGCGCGCGCGCGCAAAGTAAAAATCGGGCAGAAAATCTTGTGATAGTCGTTGAAATTAAGTGTTATGAGGGTACAACCAACCAGATATCAACCAGGTACTAACCAACCAGGGAAGAGTCGTCAAGTTTCTGGGATCCCCTCCCATGTTGGAATATGTGGGAACGAACGAGCAAATGTGCTGGCTGCTGATGGAGACCACATTGAATACTTCACACCCAAGACTGCTACAAATTAGAGGTATTGTCAGGCAACATCACCGTGACAAGGTAACTGAGGAGAGGAGGATAGAAGCACAAACCAGTGAATCTGTACGATGGTACAGCATGGTTGCAGCTGGCAATCCCTATCATTATGGCTGAAAAGAAGGAGGACGAGAGAGAGAATCAGTAATAGCGAGAATCCGTCTTGGATACAAGTATCCATGGAGATTCGGAATGGAAACAACAGTTGATCAGCGGGGTTGCAGAATGTGTGGTGAGAGTGACGGACACCGCCTTGACCACTACGTGAATGTGAACACCTGAGAGACATTAGAAATATGTGTAGAATAATAAACCCCACATTGTTTGAGTTAGGAAAACACTATTTGTCAAATATTGATACTGTTCTTAAAAGGTTCCCCCATTTTGCACCCGCAAGAAAACGGAAGATTTTAAGGGTTGACAGATGTTAATCGTCTAGTTTGAGGAGCTGTTCACTTGAGACAGTTAAGCAAGTCCCAGCTGTGTCTGGGTACAAGTGACAGGATGAACAACCCAGCGGGTTTTCTTCCTACTGGGGAGTGTTGTACATGCTGCTATGGCGGTGTGTCCACTCACAAGATGAGTGGCGCTGCCCAATACTGTCACTATGGCGTTGTGTCCACTCACAGGATGAGTGGCGCTGCCCAATAAACTCGCCCCTCGGGGCAAAATTAAAAAATATATATATCTTTAAGGCTAAAAATTAAATTGTTCAGTAAATATCGAATAAGCCGCAAGATCGAGGTAAGATGTATAGGTCTCGTAAATGAACAAGTAATTACTAATTGCTTGATGAAGCTAGCACAGAGACCTAGTTGGTGAATACAAAACACCGCTGTGGGACAAAAACCAATTGTTTAGCATTAGTGGGAAACACAGGGCCGGGGTTCTTGAAGATTCACTTATATATATTACTTATTATATATATATTTATATATTATATATTTCTTATAAATTATTAAATATTATATATAATAAAATATATAAAATAAATATTTGCCAGCATATTTTAAAGATGCTGTTTATTTAGACTAAGAGAAACCAATTGTCAATGTGATTTTTAGAAATACACAACCACTTGCGAAACCTGTACATCTTTCTTCCATCATGGCGGTATGGTCTACATTTATTACAGTTTACGAGCTCGGAAGCACTACGAGGTACTAACAATAATAACCTTTGGGACGAGGACGAGTTCTCGACGCTTCCAGGCTCGTCATCTGCTTAGCAAACGTAAACAAAGTCGCCATGATTAAGAATAGATGTACAGGCTTCGTAAGTGATTCTTACCTGGATCATGCGTGATGAGCCAGGTAAGAAAGGACAAACAGAGGGGAAATCAGAATCTTTGGTAAATTGGAGGAAGCCAAGTGAAGACGCACAAGAGAACTGATAATAATCCACTTGATAAAATGTATATATATATACATATGTATGCATTGTATACCAGAGCAGGTACCGCTGGAGGTTTAAAGGTATACATGAATGGTTTATCACTCCGTCCTCTCACCTAAGACGTCGCATTTTAAACCGACTCTTCAAAGAGCCGACCAATCCGTTAAATATATGCACGCGTACTAAAATTTTCAACCACGGCAATATTGACGTTTCGCTCAGCATCGGTCTCGTGAGGTTAGGTGGGTTGCTTGGGTTCATACGTTTCTGGCTAGGCAAAACAGTTGTATTTTGTACGGAGTTGTTATGTTTGTATAGAGTTGTTAGTTCTTATGTTTAGTTAACTAGTAAGTTGCATCGAAACTATGCGGTAGTACACTAGACCGGGATGGTGATTAGACCTGATATTGTTGTTGTTATAGATTCAGCTAATCGGAACCAGTTCCAAGTAGCACGGGCTATGGTGAGCCCGTAACTTACCTGGCACAGGAGTGGTGCAAGTAGCACGGGCTATGGTGAGCCCGTAGTGGACTTACTGGCTAGACCTGTAATGGTGTTGTGTTATGGATGTTGTGGTGAGGCGAGATGTTACCATGGTGATGGATGCTGGCGTGTGCTCCACATCCCCTCCCCCTCCCCTCTCTCATCTTATCAAGTTCACCACTCCTTACTCATCCTTCTCCTCATGAACTTCGCCTCTCCTTACTCACCGCGCCTCTCATTCCTATCGTCTTACTCACCCGGGGCCGGATTCATAAAGCAGTTACCCAAGCATCAAGGAATCTTTGCGTTCTTCCCATCGTCGTGGCAGTTCCGTCGCGATTCAGGAAGCAATTTACGAACGCCAGTCTTCCTAAGAACACCGCCTCGTGTTACGACGCCTCCAGACCAGTCGCAGCTTTGCGTAAACCGTCAAACTTTTCTCGATTACGTAAGCGTAACAATGGGACCTGAAAATCCAGTGCCTTCCGACAGACACTGTCGGCTGGTGTCTGTCGGCTCCCGTCCTCCAAGCAATATGCTGAGTGTCTGAGTGTCCGTAACTCGTATTACATATTGGTCTTGTATTTAAAGAGAAAAATATACGATAGCAAGTTATTAAATAAATACTT